AGCTGTGGCTGCCCCATCCCTGGCAGTGTTCAAGGCCAGGTTGGACACAGGGGCTTGGAGCAACCTGCTCTAGTGGAAGGTGTCCGTGCCCGGGGCAGGGGTTGGGGCTGGAGGAGCTTTAAGGGCCCTTCAACCCAAACCAGGCTGGGGTTCTGTGATCACCTGGGACTTGAGCACTGAGTGAGCAGGTTACCAACAGTGCATGGGAGTGATGCTGGAGGAGCTCTCCTGCATTTCATGGATTTGGGCAGGTGGAAGACCTGGATCCAAGTGTACAGAGCAGACAGCTGAGCCACCACCAACTCCTTGAATAAGCCAAGAAGAAAGAAACCTTTTAAGATAAAATTTTATATCCATCAGGAATCAGAAACCAGAGAAATCCAGGTAACAACAGCACCTCAAAGAGCCCAGACTAGGTAAAGACAGTACAGCTGAGCCAGAGCAGAGACCCACTCCAAGCTGGAGGCAGAAGACAACTAGGGCCACCATAGTGGACACAGTTGCTTGCTCTTAGGATGCACTTTGTCTCTTTTTCAGAGAAAACACAAACTGACACCTTTGCTGTGTTAAAAGGCAGCCCGTAAGTTGGCAAAACTGCAGACTCCGATGTGGAGAGGAGGAGGATGGGCTGCAGAGAGGTGGAGCACAGCGTGGAGGAGGTCAGGGATCTATTGGGGACCACACAGCGTCAGGGAGGTGGTGAGGGATGCCACGGGTGACTGACACACTGCAGGGAGAGGATCCTGAAGCAAAGGGGTGGCCCATTGCAGGGGAAACAAGGAGACCTGTATCAAGGGGCTGAACAATGGGAAGCTGTGAGGGATCACTCTGCAGGAGGAAGCAAGATGTGAAGGTCCTTGAGGGACCAGAAAGGATTTCCTGGGGTCACAAGGAAGCGGGAAGACAGAAAGACTCTGCAGTTTCAGAGAATTCACATTGCAGGGAGTGTAGGCTTCAGTGTGATGGTTGGGAGGAGGTGAATAAGGTCTCAGATCCCCCTCATCTTACTTCCAAATGCAGGAACTCTCCAGCAGTGATCTTCAGATTTCTTAGTCCATTCAAGGAAAGTTCCAGCTGCCTCAATCCTGGAAACTTACGGAATGGTTCTGCAAGGGTGGAAAAGAAAATGCTCCAGTGAGTGAGGAACAGCAGTAACAGAACAAACCATGTCTTACCGAGGCCTGGAGTGGACCAACCCAGCAAGAACAAGAGCACTGGTATTATCAGTGGGTATGTCTGAAAGAGGACACAGCTCGGTTTGATGGGTGTCCATACAATACATGATATCCCACCAGCCTGGTCCTCACACCTCTGGTTTGCTTTCATGCCTTTCTGGGGCAACAGCACAAGAGGGACGTGGAGCTGCTGGAGCGAGGCCAGAGGAGGCCCCAGAGCTGCTGCAAGGGCTGGAGCAGCTCTGCTCTGGAGCCAGGCTGAGAGAGCTGGGCTGGGGCAGCTGGAGAAGAGAAGGCTCCTCAAGGGGACACCTTGGAGCAGCTCCAGGGCCTAAAGGGGCTCCAGGAGACCTGGAGAGGGGCTTTGGACAAGGGATGGAGGGACAGGACAAGGGGAATGGCTTGAATCTGCCAGAGGGGAGATTGAGATGAGCTCTGAGGCAGCAGCTCTTCCCTGTGAGGGTGCTGAGGCGCTGGCACAGGGTGCCCAGAGAAGCTGTGGCTGCCCCATCCCTGGCAGTGTTCAAGGCCAGGTTGGACACAGGGGCTTGGAGCAACCTGCTCTAGTGGAAGGTGTCCCTGCCCGGGGCAGGGGTTGGGGCTGGAGGAGCTTTAAGGTCCCTTCAACCCAAACCTGGCTGGGATTCTATGATTCACTCCCACCCCAGACTGGATTATTGCTTGAAGCCACTGATGGCACATTTAGCTTCTGTGTTTTACTAGTTATAAACAGATTTCTTTTTATTTCTTCAAATGGACTGAGCCCATGGCACCGGCTTTGGATTCACCTCCCAGCTCTATCATTAACCTGCTGAGCCTGTAGGACAAGTTGTTTCATTATATTACACAGGGATTTTCTTTGTAAAGAGCTTTGTTTTCTAAAGGACACCACAGTGACACAATTATCACTACAATAAAGGGAATTAGCACAAGGATTTCAGCTCAGTAAGTGGAAGGAAGCAATTCTGTGAAGAAGTGTGTATCTTAAACCTCTTTGTAAAGCTCTAGACCTTTGTTCAGACAAGCATAAGCTTCCCCAGGTTGAAAAGCAGCACCTACTTTTTGGCAGTGCATTCCCTTACCAAGTGTCAGCAGGTTCTCAGCAGCATTTATAAAAGCAACACAATCAAATTTCTCAAAATCATCTTCTTTAGCCTGAAAAATACAGAAGGAAACGGTCATTCATCTCACTCCAGCTCCACACTGAGGTATAACCACTGGGTGTCTCCTTTCCTCAGAATGCCTGAATCACAGCATTGCCCATCATTTGGTCTTCGTTTAGTTTTCTGACTATGGGAGTATCTGGTTAGTGCACAGCTGCCTCGGTGACTGACATGCAGAAGACCTGGACCAGCTGAGCCCCAAAGCAAAGCCCCTTCTGTGCCCTCACTGACAACATCTCATACCTATAGGTGACCCAGTAAAAGTAACCTATAATTTAGCACGAGACCTTCACACCACCAGGAGGGAACCCTAAAAAGACACTAAAACCCCAGCAGTGAGTTAGTCATGAACCCAAATAGAATCAGTTCTCAGGCTGAACTCTACCATAGTTGACGTAAAGTCCAAAGAGCAGCATGTTGAGAGGGGATCTAAATGGGGAGGAGTTTGCAGACCACAAAGACCAAGTTGATTTGGTTATGAAGACATGATGGAGAAGTTTGTGGGATGATTCCTCCAAACCTCCAAATCTGCCTGCTTCTAACATGTGTCTTCTCTGATCTCTGGACACTCATGTGCTAATGTGGTAAAGTTTTCAACTTTCAAGGGAGTTCTCTAAGACTTCCTGAGTCTCTGATACTCACTGAGACCAGATTTTGGCTGCTTATGTTCACAGAGCACAGGTCAGAGGGGTTCTTCAAACGGTGGTGCTTCATCTGGGGACAAACCCACAAGTGGTTAGTCCTACAGCAATCCTCCATGGCATGTCCTGGGACCTGAGCCCCAAAACCAGACCTCAGCTGGTGCTTTGGAACGTGGGAAGAGGGGAGAAGGCAGCATGGAGATGGGGAGAGGCAGCTACAGAGTCCATCCAGCAGCAGCATCTCCTCAGCTCCACAGAACACCAGCAGAAGGTTCAGGCAATAGCAAAGGAGCCCTGCACTCACCAGAAATGGCTCATCTAGGACATGGTGTTTGTTATTGTTTCCCATGAAGGTAGACTTTGGGGGCTTTCTCCTCTGCTGTGGTGTCTTCCTGGAGGACCCCTTCTCAGTCCAAGCCCTCGGGGTAGCTCTGTGTGCCAGCCCCCAGTGCCCAGCCCCTGCAGTGATGATGGACCAGGGCAGAGGAGATGACAAGGTGAGCACTCAACCCTCCAAATGTGTTCTTCTCAAAGTAGCTCCTCTCAGCCTGGCAGGAAAATCCACCACTTTAAACCCCCTATACATGGAAATACTGATGTATAAAGTGTTCAGTGTCCATGAATTTAAGGTCAGAACATTAAAGCTACAGCCAGGGCCATGGAAGAGGAGAAACATGATTTTTTACAGATGCTAATGGAGCCATAGGTTGCAGACATGGAGGTGTGGGCTCAAAGGGCCTTCTGGACACCACCAATCCAACCTCCCACCCAAAGCAGGACCGTCAGCAATGTTCAATCCATCACCTGTGGCTCTGTCTAGGATTCCAGCACCTCCCAGGGTAACCTGGCCCAGAGCTGCACCTCCACCCAGTGAAAAAGTTCCTCCTAATGTCCAACCTAAACCTCCCAAGGTGAACTTTTTGGCTCAGTTTTGCCATCTGCTGCTGTTAGAGTCTGTAGCTATCCTTCAGGCAGCATTTCACTGATGGGGTTCTCAAGGCTCAGAGAAGCAGCAGCTCTGGCTCTGGGTGGTGGACCTGCCCTTATAGACACGTTGTTCTGAAGAAGAGTCACCTTTACTTGTGCACAAGATGTTCCTGGCAGGGCAGCCGTTAGTTGCAGAGTTGCTTCCATCACCTATTTTATACAGTCCTGTCGTAGCCATTGTGACAGCAGCATTCCTGGGGAGAGCGGGAAAGAAAGAAATGGCTTTAAATGTTCACTGACTTTAACATACTTTAGTTTTATCAGCTCTTTCCAAGCAGAGCTACAAGAGAAACATCAGCCTGTAGGCAAAGGAATGTCATAGAATCATAGAATGGTTTGTGTTGG